AGTCCACTAAACAAGCTTTTTTCCACAAAGACCGCCTAATATCATTAGGATTAATGTCAGAGAACATATAGAAAACGACATGTAAACGTGTTGTCTTACCTTACCGGTGTGCTGCCATGTTTGTTTACAATGTAGCTCTGCTTTCCAAAGCGCAGCTGAAATATCGCGAGAACAAGCAGCGATCTCATAGCTTGCCTGTACAAGCAGCAACAGCTGGAAGGCAGAACCAGACAGTCGCCTGAACAGAGGAGGAGGAGGAGAGAGCAAGGCGCAACAGGTAACGTTAGAGGACGAGAGAGGAGGAATGGCTGCCACAAGGTTGCGTAGCTCTGGAGATTGGTGGTGTACCTGTGAATGCTGTGCCCCAGTGCCCACAGAAGAGGAATGCCTCTGTTGCAAGAAATGGGAGCGGTTGCAGCCTTATTTTCAAGGTCTGGATGTGACCGAGGACGAGACACTTCCACCTGGAGTAGTATCCAGCTGGGCTTTATCTAGAGCTGGCGAGATATATTTAGGCTGCGCTTTGGAAAGCATAGCTAAATGGTAAACAAACATGGCAGCACACCGGTAAGGTAAGACAACACGTTTACATGTTGTTTTTATATGTTCTCTGAAATTTATCCTAACGATATGAGGTGGTCTTTGTGGAAAAAAGCTTGTTTAGTGGACTAACTTTGCACTTGAAGGGATGCCCGTTCTCTTACGTTTTAACAGGTCTGACGCTACGGCTGTATCTAGGCTAACGGCTAACATGCTAACTATTATCTGTATGTCACTAGTCACTTGAACCAAATTTAGGACGACAGGAGACGGGTTGAAATAAACCGAAATTTCCCTTTAACATGTAGGGTTATAATAGGTCGTGATCTAAAGTGGCCCAGTCTGAGGCATGAAACTCGTCTGCACCTTAGAAGTAGCCCCCACAATTGCGTTGTATAGGTAGCATCCTTGTTAAACTGCAATGACAATAAAGGCTTTCTATTCTATTGTGCAGTAGTACAGTAGCTTTGCAGTTCTCTGTGAACACATCCACACTAAAATGGTTTTGTTTAAAAATGCATAACTACGACTACCTTTATGTCTGACGTCCACACTACTCCAGTGTAACTGGAGCCTCTAAAATGAGGCCTCTGAAATCACTGTTGATCCCATTTTAGTTTTAAAACTATGGCCTCAACAACATCATGTGACAGGCTACAGAGTTGTAATTCCACTGTATGGCCACTGGCCAATTGGCTTGAAAGCCTGGTGCACCTCCATGCGGCCTGGCATCTCCTGTAATTGTACCGCAGGGAAAAACGATCTGCTTCCTGTTTACATCAGCATGCACATGCCCAGTGTGTGGGAATGGACATGTTTTATTGTTTTCAGGTGTGTTAGTATGGACTGAGATCAATTCTGAAACAGCGCTTGAGCACAAGATTGCGAAGAAAATGAAAATGAATTTCTGTGGATGTGGCCTACTTTCCCCTTCTTGGCAATGCACTGCATGAACACCTGAATTCTCATCAGTCATCCCTTTTAATTTGATGTATTTTAGAGTAGCATATTATTTAGAGTCCAAACTGTAAAGTGCATGTTAAAACTGATCCATAGACACAAAAAAGTACCACATAATGCTGAAATGTAGACCTGCATGCATATACCTGTTTGTGAGCTCCATAGCTCATGTTTGACAACTGGGATGGAAACACTTACAGTTATCTAATTTTCTGAAGAGTAGTAGTGTTTGGAACAGCATACAGAGGGACAGTGGAGACAAAGATGTACAGTACAGGCCAAAAGTTTGGACACACCTTCTCATTCAATGCGTTTTCTTTATTTTCATGACTATTTACATTGTAGATTCTCACTGAAGGCATCAAAACTATGAATGAACACATGTGGAGTTATGTACATAACAAAAAAAGGTGAAATTACTGAAAACATGTTTTATATTCTAGTTTCTTCAAAATAGCCACCCTTTGCTCTGATTACTGCTTTGCACACTCTTGGCATTCTCTCGATGAGGTAATCTCAAGAGGTAGTCACCTGAAATGGTTTCCACTTCACAGGTGTGCCTTATCAGGGTTAATTAGTGGAATTTCTTGCTTTATCAATGGGGTTGGGACCATCAGTTGTGTTGTGCAGAAGTCAGGTTAATACACAGCCGACAGCCCTATTGGACAACTGTTAAAATTCATATTATGGCAAGAACCAATCAGCTAACTAAAGAAAAACGAGTGGCCATCATTACTTTAAGAAATGAAGGTCAGTCAGTCCGGAAAATTGCAAAAACTTTAAATGTGTCCCCAAGTGGAGTCGCAAAAACCATCAAGCGCTACAACGAAACTGGCACACATGAGGACCGACCCAGGAAAGGAAGACCAAGAGTCACCTCTGCTTCTGAGGATAAGTTCATCCGAGTCACCAGCCTCAGAAATCACAAGTTAACAGCAGCTCAGATCAGAGACCAGATGAATGCCACACAGAGTTCTAGCAGCAGACCCATCTCTAGAACAACTGTTAAGAGGAGACTGCGCCAATCAGGCCTTCATGGTCAAATAGCTGCTAGGAAACCACTGCTAAGGAGAGGCAACAAGCAGAAGAGATTTGTTTGGGCCAACATACATACATATATATATATATATATATATATACATATATATATATATACATATACTTACCTTTCTGGAAATTTTACGGTTTTCTTTGTTTAGGTTAAAATTATATTAATAAGCTGATGGCACACTAAAATGTAAGTGAATTCCACCAGAGATACAAACTCATTATAATACCATTCTCATATGGTTCTAAGAAAACTCCAACCAATCATTGCATTCGGACACAAAGATTGGCCGAGCGTCCTGTCTTCCCCACGTGGAGGCCTCCGGCATAACATCCCCCGATGGCGAAAACTGATGCAGCTTCATCCTGAGCTAAAAAGTGACGAGATGGTCGCAGAGTTTCTGTTGGACAGGTATTTTTAGTTTGCCTCTAATGTAACGTAGGCTAAAACGTTATACATGACAACACAGCATCTAGTTGCTAATGGTTAGCCTACAGTAGCCTAGCGTTGCCTGAGACTCCTTCTTTTTTGCCAGTCACCAGTACTATCTAATGTTAGCGTTTATGTTATATTATAAAACTCATCAGTCATCACTGACCCTGGATAAGTTTCAAAACTCCAGGGTTGCGTTTGACTGTGCAAGACAAGTAATGATATGTTTAGTTTGCTTCTAATATAACATATAATGTTATATGACAACACAGCATCCAGTTGCTAATGGCTAATGTTAGCCTACTGTAGTAGCGTAGCCTCTGAAACATTAACGTTATCTTCCTTGAGCGTTTCCACTTACCAGTAACGTTAATGCTACTATCTAACGTTAGCACTCTAACCTTATTCTAAAACTCATCAGTCATCACTGACTCCGGTTGAGTTTTAAAACTCTGGGGCTGCGTTTGACTGTCTTGGTTGTAACATTACACTTGCTCTCCTCTTCTGTGTATCTAACGTTACCTTGCAAACGCCTATGTCTATCATAGACGTAATGAGGACATAATGGAGGAGGGGGTAGTAGGCCTTTGGAGGGAGGTGGAGTTGCGGGAGGAGGGGGATGGAACTTTGGAGGGAGGCGGGAGTTGTGGATGTTCAAATTTTTTCTAAGTGCTGCGTGAAATGCAAGAAAGGTAAGAGTAGCTTTAACTCCACAAGTCCACAGGGCTTGTTTCCAAAAAGTATCTGGCTTGTTTAGATGTTCCTTTGCAAAGTTCTGACGCTGAATTTTGTGGTGAGGACATAGGAAAGGTTTTCTTCTGATGACTCTTCCACAAAGGTCATATTTGTACACCACCACTCCTGAGTCTGCTATATCTTTCTGCAGGTCTTTTGCAGTCAAACAGAGTTTTTGATTTGCATACGATCCTACAAGCATCTCTCTCAGCTAGTTTTCTTGGTCTTCCAGACCTCAACTTGACCTCCACAGTTCCTATTAATTGACATTTATCAATTACATGACAAACTGAGTAAACGGCTACCTGAAAACACTTTGCTATCTTCTTATAGCCTTCTCCTGCTTTGTGGGCATCGATTATTTTAGTTTTAAGAGTGCTAGTCAGCTGTTTAGAGAAGCTCATGGCTTCTGATTGTTAGGCCAAGGTTTCGGGAGTCAGAGTATTTATAAAGCTTTGAAATTTGCATCACCTGGCCTTTCCTAACAATGACTGTGAACAATCCATAGCCCTAACAAGCTAATCAAGGTCCGAGACCCTAGTAAAACTTGCCTGAGAGCTCAAATGTCTTGGGGGGTCAAACTTTTGCATGGTGTTCCTTTCCCTTTTTTACTTTGAAATTGTAAAAACAAAAATAATACACTAATCTTGCTTAAAATGTTGAAAAGCAAGTTTCACCTTTAACGTCATGCCTTTTGGAGATCAGTTCATCTTCTACTGACTTAACTATTCACAGTGAAAGACATTTTGACCAGGGTTGCCCAAACTATTGCATGCCACTGTGTATTAACTATAGACTACGCAGGATTTTCCTAAAAAACAATGACTCATACAGAAGTAATCCCTCTCAGTCATCACTTATGACCCAATCTCAGTGTCTGGAGTTGTGTCTTTTTGCAGAGACTCAGCCTTCTTTACCTGAATTTTATCTTCTTATTTTCTGTGCTCAAGACATTTTTGGGCGTGTAGGGTTTTATAAAAAGCTAGCGACCAGGTGTCAGACCATAAAGCAGCAGACATCCAAGAAACAGAGGGCAGAACCAAACCACAAATATAGCAAGGCAAAATGCCAAACAAGAGTCAATCTGTGGTTGGCTTTTACTTCCACTTAAGCTGGTGAGTGTTTACTATCAATAATCAACCATCTGCAAAGTATACCTTTAAGACCCTTGAGGTTGAACACTTTTATGTGAAATGATGAGCAATAACTTTAAAAATCACTATTTATAATTCTACATCTTCTTCTGTATCTTAGCACACTGTAATTATAGTCATCACATTCTCACCTGCAGCATAGCAGCAGCCAGATAGACAGACATAAAGATGGGGGTCAGGGTGGTGTGTCCGCTCTTCATCAGGTGAATGGTGTAGAGGAATATTAGGTGACCAGGGATGACCAAAAGGAGAAGCACCTGAGCAGAGCGATGGTTGGCTCCTAAGAAAACACAAAAAGGATCAGGGGAAAGGAAGATTGAAGGTGAATGTGAAGGAATCTTCTTTTTGCAGAGGAGGAAATAAACCGTCCAAAATTGTGCATGTACTCTTTATGAAATACATCACTGAATAGTTTCGTGACAAATTGTTCTGTTTGATTCCACCCACCTACTGTCCCCAGGATTCAGAGTCCTGCTGGTTTTCATTCTAGACTTCCAACAAGGAATTAATTTACAACTGCAGGACATGACAATTAACTGCCTGGCAGGACAGAGAACCAACCAGGCACAGAACTGAAAACAATGGTATTCTTGTGTTAAGGCCAAATAAAATGTGTGAAGGCAAATCATAAGCAATTAGTATAGTATTAAAGAAATACTTCACCCCCCAGATGATCATTTGTAAATCAATTACTCACTCCTTGCTAAGTTGAAACTGGGGAGAAAACATTGTTCTTCCTGTGTACCTCCACAGTTAACCAAGAATCCCAATAGGATTACCGCCTTGTGGTTGTATGCCTCTGCAAACCAGTCAGGTTCCACTTAGAGTTTACATCCATGACTGTGAAAACAAATCTTCCCCTGAACAGCACAGAAGATCTATACAATTAGCACAGTTTCAAAGTGGCCACCCAAGATTAGTGTCACCAATTCAGTATCTGACCAAATGTCTCTTTCTGTTCTTGAGACATGATGCTGATATCACAGTGATGTTGACCTCTGACCTTTTGGATACAAAATGTCATGACTTCATCTAATTATTCAATTAGACATTTGTGTGAAATTTTGTCATAATTAGCATATAAATTCCTGAGTAATGGCCAAAAACATGTTTTGTGAGGTCACAATGACCTTAAACCACCGAATTCTTATCAGTTCTTGGTTGAATCCAAGTAGATGTTTGTGCCAAATTTAAAAATTCCCTCAAGGCCCTCTTGAGACATCATATTCACAAGAATGAGACAGAACCAAGGTCACAGTGACCTTGATCTTTGACTTTCAAAATTTAACCAGTTCATTGTTGAGCCCAAGTCGATGTTTGTGTCAAATTTGAAGAAATTCCCTGAAGCTGTTTTGGAGGTATTACATTCATGAGAGTGCAACAGAGTGGGTTACTTCACCTTGACCTTTGACCACCAAATTCTAATCAGTTCATTGATGAATCCACATAGACGTTTGTGGTCACAAGAATGGGACGGATGAACAAATGGACTGACCATCGGGGTATTCTATCAATAACGACCAAATAATGACTATAAATGCTTTACACTCCTCAAATTGGAGTTGGACAGCCACACATAGCTAAAGTGTGATTTAATGAAATGGTCAGTACCTGCACAGTACTAACCTGTACCACAGAAGGTGCGGCAAGGGTAGTAGCAGCCCTTTGCATCATCAGGAACCTCTCCAGGAGCACAGTGGAAATGCAGGTGAGTGGAGATCCTGCTGGCCTGAATAGCCACCAGGTTACCCCCGATTCCTGAACAAAATAGAAGAGTTCATGGTTCATGAAGAGCATTCAGTGTTCAGTAGGGTCAGCTAAGAGATTGTAAAGTAAAGGCAAGCACATATGGTTATTTATTATCTCTTTTAAGGGGAAAATAGAGAAAGGCTACCAACCAATGCTGATACCAATGTTGATATTTAAGTAAATTTAAAGATATGGAGTCTGGGAACAAGCTATGTGCAGAGTACTGAACAGCTCACTTTATTGTTGAAAAATAAACTTGTCTGTGATCAACACACTACGTAATGGTGAAACTGTTTGTGAATAGCTGCGAACACAAATTTGGTGTCTTTATTATCAATCTGATTAATGCCCTCCTTGCCTGTTCCCGGAGTTTTGGTGGGCTGCCCTCTCTTGGGAGGTTTTTTGTGGTGACACATTTTTTAGACGTAATGGTGCTCATGGGGACGTTCAAAATTTCATTTTTTTTAAGAATCCAAACCTGATCTGTACTTCTCCAGGACTTTATCCCAGACCTGTTTAGAGAGCTCCTTGTTCTTGTTCATGGTGCCACTTGCTTGATGGTGCTGCAGACTCTGGGGCCTTTCAGAACAGGTGTATATATACTGAGATCATGTTACACTTTGATTGAACACAGCTGGATTTTATTTAACTAATTCTGTGACTTATCAATGTAGATGGTACCACCAGGTGTTATTTAGGGGCTTCATAGCAAAGGGGGTGAGTACGTATGCACACACCACTTTACATTTTATTATTTTTTAAAACAAGTTGTTTTTCCATTTCACTTCACCAAACTTGACTATATTGTGTAGGTCCTTTACATACAAAAAAAAAAGCCACAGTGTGTAGTTACATTTTTGGGGAGGCCAACATTAGCTATGGTATAGTCTCGCCACCAGACAATCAGAGATCTCCGCCTTCTGATAGTCTGGGGACACTCCTTTCTAAAGTGTGTTTAACACACCGGCGAAAACGGCCGGCAACAAAGCAACGCCTCTTGCATTTTTGAAAAGGACACGCCTTCTCGGAAATGTGCGCTCCCCCTTTTCTCGTCCGTAAGGAAACAAACACACAGAGAGCTTGAAAATGGATGCCGAGAGATTTAACTCCGTTTTATCAAACGTGTGCTCATCCGTGAAGAAAATATTTTTTCCAGCGGATGTCTTAGTTACAACATGATTGAGCTAACTGGAGTAGTTTCATGTCGTATCCAACAACGGGAGGCTTTTAACAGATGACGTCCTGTTACCTTAGCTGTCCCTATCAGCTGCAGCCACTGATGCTTTCTAGACATCGTGATTTCCTAAAACTGAATAAATACCACACATAGCAACACAAAACTGCTTTGCTAGCTCAATCATGTTGTAACTAAGATATCCGCTGGAAAAGATATTTTTTTCACGGACCGTTTATGGAGTTATTACCTATTACAGACACCGCTAACGGCTGACAGCTAACGGTTAGCCCAGCTAAACGTGCACACAGAAATAGTAATGTTTGTTCAGTCTTTGTGTTTATAGACTTTACAAACATCGGATTAGTCCAAACGATGATACAGTGATGTGAAAAATGTGATACATAGGCTATATATATAGCTAAAAGCTCTGCTGGTTTTCTACCCAGAAGTATTTGTAAACAACAAGGCGATTCCCTCTAACGTTATAGTCCGGTCGGACGGATGAGTCATGGCCTTGTAAAAGATTATGTTTGTTTCTTTTAGTTGGCGAGAATGTGTTGCCGCAAACGCGACAAACATTCACTGAACTTTGACGGCGTTTTCTGCGAGCACGGCTGAGCCCTGCAGATTTACTATTGGTTGTGCAACGTAGGGAGTTTTTTTAAACTCTGAAATTGTATCCGCTCATCTAAACACAAAATCAGGGAGAAAGTCATCAGTCTTTAGTTAAGAAAAGCGTCTAAAGACTGACTTGTGAGTCTAGCTATGGTATAACTATGGTAGCTTTACGGCAGCTACACAATTATCTCAATCCAGCTTAAGGGACTGAAAAGTAACAACCAAAGTAGAAAATAAGAAAATCTGTTAAAACAAATGTTTGTTCATTATTAGACTTCCCTGTCAATTTTGCATTAGGTTTCTTCAGGCTTCTAAAAATAAGTGCTTTGACAATGCTTTAGGCCTGGTATACACTGTGCGATTTTGGGCTGTCCTGGATTAGTGCCAGTGAGTCCTTGACTATATACTCCACAACTGCTGGGTCCTCCAGTATTACCATGATCACATAATGAATGATGAAGCATGGAAGGAAATAGTGGCCCAGCTGCAGCTGCCAGGTGAGCAACCCTGCAGCTAGCAAACACACACACAAACACGCAGCAGTATATAGTGCCCACAAAACTTAAGGTTATTTATTAATGTGATGCTGTGTGTTATGTTGTGATTCACAGTTGGAAAAGTAATAACCAGTGTAGCATCCTTGCGCACTCAGTATGGGAAGCTATTGCATCGTACATCATAGCCTGCTATTTAGTAGATGCCGTCACTGTACAGTCTGCATTAGTGTTGTCACGGTACCAAAATTGATACCAGTGAAAGTATCACGGTTCTGAGTAGTATCACGATACCACAGCATTCATTTATAAAAAGATGAATCACTTTTCTATAATACATCAATGATATTTCAATGGAATAAATTACTTATTGACTTATTCATACTTCCAAAACAGCATCAATAAGTGATTAATTGGGGGGGGGGGGGGGGGGGGGGCTCACTCATTACCTGCCTGGAGGAGATAAAGGCATGGATGAAGCTTTATTTCCTACAGAAATCAGATCATCCACCCTCACCAGCATCTCTTTCTCCAGTGAGAACATCCCTGTCTACTTCAGTCACCAACCTCGGCGTTAAAATGGACCCCCACCTTACGTTCGAGACCCACGTCAAACATCTATGCAAGACTTCCTTTTACCACCACAGTAACATTGCAAAACTCCGTCCATCACTCAACCTGGCAGACGCTGAAAAGCTCGTCCACGTCTTTATCTCCTCCAGGCTGGGCTACTGTAATGCACTCCTCATCGGTATCCCTAGTAAAAGCATCCAGAGGCTTCAATACATCCAGAACAGCGCTGCTAGGATCCTGATGAAGGTGCGTAAGCATGACCATATCACTCCCATCCTCAAAAAGGTGGGTGTGTAAAACAAAGGGCCATGTGGCCTACAAAACAAAATGGCAGACAACAGAGAACTACAAAATGGCCGAATCAAAGACGGCTTCAGATTGAAGGAGGTTTTGCCTGACCGTGTGATCAGGACAAGGACAAAGTAAAAGAAGCGGGAACTCTGAGTTGCCTCTTTGGGTGTAGCTATATCGACAGCCAATTTGTGAGTGAGTATGTGTGTACTATTTGTGTTGCAAAGGGTTTGGGTGAGTACAGAGGATGTTTAGTTGCATGCATTAGCAAACTAACATCACTAAGCTTTGGTGAAGCCAACTAACCAATAACTTAACTGCAAACAATCACAACAATAACTCAATAAACAGCATTAAATCACAATTGACAAAGTTAAACAGTATTGCTTAGCCTGTACAACTGCAATAATGCTATGTCCAGTTGTTACATTACCAATCCTTGAGTGGATGCAGGGAAGAATTGTGGTTCCAGAAGCGGTCTTTGCTGTGCCCTTGTTCCGAAGGTGCAGATCTGAGGTGGCCGGTTGGTCGGTGTCTTTGCAGAGTTAGACGTTGGGGTCTCTGCCACCATTTCAAATGGCAAGGCCCAGAGAAGAAAGCCTTCACATGTCCAGTTTAGATTTTAACAAATGACAAATCATCTGTGGTTCAGTGAATCCCAAAAACAGCAACATTAGAAAGACGTGTTCATTTGTGAAGACAAAATGTTCAAGTATCATAAACCTTTGTCTGCCACAGAGTTTATATTCTGCAATAATCCAAAATCCAACGGAAAAATCCCATAGGCTTTTTTAATGAGCGGAGCAGGGCAATGTGGGCAGATGCAGCGTTCCCAGAGTTGCATGATGACAGTTAGTGAACGCAGGTTTTAGTTTTAATTTCAGTGCAGGCACGGTGGTACTAAACCTGAGACCTAGCTGTTGATTGCTAAGAAACAAGCCCAGCACACAACTCACCATAAATACTCAAATGGTATTTTCTCTCTCTTTCAATTGCCACTTTTGGTTGCGCTGAGTCAAACCATGCCGCACCTCCTTTGTCCGTTTAAACATGCCAAACCTTGCCAAGCCCAAGATGAACCATCACTGAAGTCATGCAAAAAGCATGCCCAACCACCTCCAAGCAGATAGCTGACTGCAGCCAACTCCCGATGACCCCTGAAAGAAGTGTGTATTGTGAGACTCAACTCACATTTGTCTGTGCAGGGGACCAGAGAGAAGGTGTTTTTAAAAGTCTCTGTAGCTTCTCACTGAATCTTAGTTATGTGGAGTTTAGTTTGTCTCTGGCGTCCTTTTTTTAAAATAAGATTTCTGCTTTATTTTAGTGTTTCATGTTTGCTTTGATGAGAAAACCCAACTTTGCTGATGAAAACCCAACTTTTGTTAATTTGCTGCTTCACAATCAAAGCTTTTAGATAAAAACACAACAGGGGGCTTTTATTGTGATTAATCTATAGGAAATTAAATGTGTTTTTCACCAAATTAGGGGAGCATTGTGAGCAGCTCTTCCTCAATAAAAGTCTACTAATATGGCAGGGAGAAAGAGTAAACGCAGAAGCAGCCACAGTGAGGTGTTAGATGAAGAGTTGCAATCACACCCTTTTTAAGATGATATTAACAGCATCAATGTGTCCTATTCAGTACTGACAATCCGATTTACCATCATTCCATATTGGATTCCAACCCAGTTGGCCAAAACTTGTTGCCACTGTACATTTCTGCAAACTATGAATGTGTTATATTTGTACAATATTTTGTAGCGCAATATTTTGTAGCGGATACATTGAAACTTTACGTTTCTTTTTTTTTTTTTTTATTGGTGAAATAGAGTGACAGGAACAAAACAAAATAACATGA